GCTCAGTTGTGTGTGTGAGTGAGTCCTTCCTGACCTACCTTACTGAGACGTCTTTAATCTCGGACACTCATTGAAAGCACAAAAGGTATGTCCATGATATCGGTTCTACACCTGTATTGTATTATTTCAATCCTCCGAGGCTGCTGTCCTTCACTGATTTAGATAATTTCCTTCAGGGATACAGGTGACTGAAAAGAGTGATTAATAGGTAAGGTGTGTTGTCAACCTGCGCAAAGGCCTTATGATGATCCTTTCATTTGAGTCAGGTGTACTAAAGCGAGAAAAGACCTCAGGCATGGAAGACACTGCACACACTTTCTCTACACAACACACAAAAAGTCCCATCCCTTGCTGCTATGCTGAGTAGTATTACTTTAAGAACAAAGATTAGCGGGTTCTTTTAAAACGGCGTTCTGCAGCAGCGACTTTAACCGTGGTCGCTGCACTCACAACACAGAGATCCAAAACAGCTAGTTCATGCCTCAGCAGAATCTGTTTAAACAAGCTCAACCTCCGGGGATTGACTTTACACCATACTACACAAAGTTATGAAGGTCAAGGTTTTACAAACACAAACATAGTCCTTTTGAACTCTGTGTCAAACGTTGCCCTATGATGAGTGGTCATAAATTGCGCATTCTCCAGCCTTCAAGTCTGAGAAAATTGACTCCTTCCATCCGGAGTTGAACCAGCCACCTAAGGATGCCTGAGTTAACGTCCTACAGCCCTCCGCTCTACCAACTGAGCTATCGAAGGCCACAAAGACAAACCGCACTCAGCATCCACCACATGTATAGAACCGACGTAGCTACGGTATATATTTTTCACACCCATTACGACCAAAACATTTTGACGTGACATTAGTCCCTGAATTTTACAGCCCTGAGGTGTCCAAATGAAGTCCTCAACAGCTGGTGCTCTTTAATATTTTACACATTTTCCTACTACACACACAGGGGATTCAAAATTCTAAATTGTCTTCTTGACCAGTTCTGCAGGGGCATTGCAGTGAACACGTCATTTGAATCAGGTGTGTTGAATTAGCTAAGAAAGTAGAAATATCGGCCTGCCCATCTATAAAGCACGTATAAGAACCACCATCCTTTCCTGACACGGAGACCACTGCTACTTTTCCTAAAGAAGTTGCAGAGAGGTTGTCAGATTGGAATGCTGTGACCCGGATTCGAACCGGGGTTGCTGCGACCACAACGCAGAGTACTGACCACTATACGATCACAGCTCCTGATTGCTCGCTCAGTTGTGTGTGTGAGTGAGTCCTTCCTGACCTACCTTACTGAGACGTCTTTAATCTCGGACACTCATTGAAAGCACAAAAGGTATGTCCATGATATCGGTTCTACACCTGTATTGTATTATTTCAATCCTCCGAGGCTGCTGTCCTTCACTGATTTAGATAATTTCCTTCAGGGATACAGGTGACTGAAAAGAGTGATTAATAGGTAAGGTGTGTTGTCAACCTGCGCAAAGGCCTTATGATGATCCTTTCATTTGAGTCAGGTGTACTAAAGCGAGAAAAGACCTCAGGCATGGAAGACACTGCACACACTTTCTCTACACAACACACAAAAAGTCCCATCCCTTGCTGCTATGCTGAGTAGTATTACTTTAAGAACAAAGATTAGCGGGTTCTTTTAAAACGGCGTTCTGCAGCAGCGACTTTAACCGTGGTCGCTGCACTCA